ACTCGATGGCACCTAACAACAACAACAAGGAGTCCTGGTGCAGTACTAGTGTGGCGCTGAGTTAATGCGCTGGACTGCAATGTCAGTTTGAACCGCAAGATTGGCAGTTCAAACTCACCAGCCACTCCTTGGAAACCCTGTACAAGGTCGCTATGAGTAGGAATTGGCTCCATGGCACTTAACAACAACAACAGGAGTCTTGGTGTGGTGCTGCAGGATAAACACTGGACTACTATCCACTAGGTTGACAGTTTCAACTCACCAGACACTCCACGGAAACCATATACAAGCACACTGTGAGTCGGAACCAACTCAACGGCACTTGACAAAAACAAGGAATCACATATTTTTCAACTATGTTTGATTGAAAAAAAAATCATTAAAAAAAATTATTTTTAAATGTACAGAGGCATACAAGAACAAAAATGTTTGAAACCCCTAGTTTTCGTTCTCTAGTGCTGCTATAACAGAAATCCTCCAAGTGGACGACTTTAACAGAAATGTCGCCTCTCATAATTGAGTCGGCTAGAAGTCAGAATTCAGGACGTCAGCTCCAGGGGAAGGTTTTCTCTCTCTGTCGGCTCTAGGGGATGACCCCTGCATAGTTTCAACATCTGCGGGCTGCTGTTCCTTGGAGATCTCCAAGTGTCTTGGCATCGATCTTCCCCCAGGTCTAGGAGTTTTTCAGCGAGAGAACAGCAGATCCCAAGGCTGTAAATCTCGATGGAAGCAGACTGCCACATCTTTCTCTCATGGAGCTGCTGGTAGGCCTGAACCCCTGACCTTTGAGCAGCAGCCAAGTGCTTAATCACTATACCACCAGGGCTCCTTTAAGTTTTGCATAGGAGGTAATATTAACCAAGGACACAGACTGTCGCTGATTAAAGAGACACGTGAAAAAGAGTAGGAAGACAGGCAGTGAAGCCACCCTGAAGAGGGTCCATGTCAATGTGTTTTAGTACATACAGCCTGTGGCATACTTTGGTTCCCGGTGAAGATGAACAGCCATGTGCTCATCCTCACACACAGTAGAGTACCTACAAAGCTTAGGGAGTCCTGGTGTGGCACTGTAGGATGAGCACTGGACTGTTAACTGTAAGGTGGGTAGTTCAAACCCACCAGCCACTCTTCGTAAACCCTATACAGAGTTGCTATGAGTTGGAACCAACTTGAAGGCACTTAACAACAACAATAGGAAGCTTAGAGAACAGGATGCTCAGGGTGTACATCCAAATCTCACGATGGGGCCTCAGGCTGCTGTAGTTTTAACTATGCAGCCATGGTTAAAAACCATTGATTAAAGTAACGACAAAAAATCTTGGTGAAGTTTTATGTTTTCTTGATTACATCTATTTATTAGTAACTTATGTGCCACCTTGTTCCAGAAAGGAATTAAAGAGTCATATAAGGAGCTTTGGTAGCGTAGTGGATTACAAACTAGGCTGATAATCACAGGTCAGTAGTTTGAATCTACCAGTCACTCCAGGGGAAAAAGATGAGGCTCTCTGCTCCCCTAAATATTTATAGCCTCATAAATCCTATGCAGGGTCACCGTGAGACTCGGTGATACACAACCACCACCATCAATAACGACATAAAAACACAACTTAGAGTGGTGACAAGGCAAGTGTAGTTAGTGGCCCCACCAACTAAAAAACCCATGTCAACCAAATCTGAACATCCCTGTAACACGTATATTTTTAGAGTCAAATTTCAAGAAACAATTTGAACCAGTTTCTGTTGCCCATGTATGCATGAAATGTATTTGTATTTAGTAGTTTTCCATAATGCATTTAACTTGTTCTTGTAACTCCTGATTCTATTTTGGTTTTTCTTCATTTCACATCTCTAGGTCAAATGAGAAATACACTTTGCATATCTTCCAAAATGCTCAACAACTTCTATCTCCCACCTTGGGTAGCACAGTACCTGAATCTGTCCGTGGCAGGGGTGGTTTCCATGTTAAATTCGGCCACTGACACGCCCCTGGCAGACACTTGGGGGGCAAACATGGCAGCGGGATACACCACAGAGGAGGTTCCCACCTACAAAGCAAACAGATGAACATCATCGAGTCAGTACTGACTCATAAGTCTATAGAGTTTTCCAAGGAGTGCCTGGTGGTGGGTTTGAACTGTCGACCTTTTCATTAGTAGTCCAGTGCTTACTCTATAGCTCCACACCAGATAGAAATGGATATATGACTATGCTATGGGCAAAGGAAATGCTGTATTCTTACATAAACTCAAGCAGGTTTGTGGTTGCAGTGTAAAGGAACCTAAGTGGGCAGGGTACGTGCAGAACGTTCAAGGGACAAAGGAAAGTTAGGAGACACCCTTCTGAATAAGCCCTAGAATGTGGGAAGAAGATAATGACATGACAGGGAGAGCACTGCATATGGATACAGTGGCCAAGGAAAGAGTAGGTGAACATGTTTTGGGGTGAGGGGTTACTTTTGGTTTTGTTCCTGTTTTTCACGGTTATGCATGTTCTTTTTTTTTAATTAGAAACTACAAAGGAAAAACATATACCTAGAATCCATAATCCTGTTGTTGTTAAGTGCAGTCAAGTTGGTACCGACTCACAGTGACCCTGTACAGGGTTCTCAAGGAGCAGCTGGTGAGCTTGAACCACTAACCTTGCAGCTCAAATCAATACTGCAGTCCAGCACACCTGTCCTTAGGTATTGAAAGTCAACATTGACTCACAGTGACCCATATGACAGGGTAGAACTGTCCCACAGGGTTTTCTATGTTGTAATTTTTTTTTTCTTAAGGTTTTTATCATGGATTGAGTAAAAGTTTATAGGGCAGATCATCACTTTTACATTCAACAATCATACACCTTGTTTCATTACAATGATTATAATCCCCTCCATGTACCATCAGTTAACAGTATTTCTCTCTATTCACTTTAGCTTTTTTTTTTTTAAAACAACAACACTCAGGCATATATAATAATTTACACCTCTAAAGGGTACATTCTGCAAGTCAGCCTCCTGGCCACCAGCTTAGTCCCTCTTGTTCCATGAATCTAGAGTCCTCAGCCACTCCCCCTCTCCATGACCCCATCTCTGCCTCTGTCTCTGGTGTCGCTGCTTCTCTGGATAAGGTCCGCATTCTGCTTGTGCTCTTCTCCCTTGATGGTCCTAGGGTCCTCCATTTCTGGACTGTAAGATTAACCACTCACCTGTTTTTGTTATAAAAGGTCTACCTTTATAATTGTGACAGTTGCAATTAGTCATGATGACAGTTATTCACTATTGAATCATACGAATCTTATCCCCATCACTTTTTACCAGACCCATCTAGACAAGATGAAAACTATTCAGTGGGGACTCTTTCTCTCCCCGCTCCCTCTTGAAACCTTGTAAGGCAGTACTTTTGTGCCTTTATCACCCCCTTATTTTAGGTAGCCAATGTCTAAATTGCCCTGTGTTGTAATTCTTATGGGGACAAATCACCTGGTCTTTTTCCTACAACACGACTTGTGAGTTCAAACAGTCAACCTTTCAGTTTGTGGTCAAGCGTTTAACCACTCTGTGCCATCAGGGTTCCTTTCCATAATCCTACTACCCCAAGATCTGGTGTGGCACTGTAGGATAAGCACTGGACTGGGAGCCATAAGGTCAGAGGTTCAAACCCATCAGCTGGTTCAAACCCACCAAGCGCTCCTCAGAACCCTTATACAACAGGGTCTCTCTCTATGAGTCGGAACCAATTCTAAAGCACTTCACAACCCCAATAACCACTGTTAACATTCTGATGTATATCCTTTCTGGGGTTTTCTTTTTCTATAAATATATGTTTATAATATTTTCGACAAGAATGAGAAGACTAAACCATGCTTTGCAAACCAGGTCTACTCACTTAATAGTCTTTCTTGAACACGGATACTACACTGAACTCAACAGTGAGGTGTACTCAACAAATATTGGCTGAATAAATACACACCCACAGGCAAATATTTCTTCCTTTAGAGGTAAGTCCAGGACTCCTGGAGTGCCACTGTAGGATAAGCACGAGACTGCTCCCTATGAGATCAGCAGTTGAAACCTACCAGCCGGTCCCCTAAAACCTTATACAGGGACACTCTGAGTCAGAACTGACAGCACTTAGCCACAACAGAGATAAAGTCAGGAAATTTTGAAATGTGTATCTCCTTTGTCCCATTAATTCTACTTCTAGGAACTATATCCTAATGAAATAATTTTAAAAAGTGTGCTGAGATACATATTTAAACAGTTTCACCACAGCCACTGTTTAAAATATCAAAACTTGAAAGTGCCCACACATGCAACAATAAAGAATTGGTTATACATATCATTTTGTATCCCTGCAGGGCAGTTGTCTAAAAGATTCTGTTAATTTAGATGCATTTACAAGGAAGGTGCTAGTTGAATTGCTATACTAATAAACCAGTTTCAAACCAGAACATACAATATGAATTCATTTTTAGAATTTGATCAACATGTGTAGTAAAGGTCTAAAGCCGGGGTGGACAAACCTTTTATGAGAAGGCCCGGGGAAAGAGGTGGCAGGCAGCTTTCTTAACGATTACAGTATTGGACACCACATGAGCTACACCACATAGTGACTCTGTATACAGAGTCACTATGCGTCGGAATTTGACTCAATAGCAATAGGTTTGGTTCAGGGCTACCTGTAGTGCTGCAGAATAAGTACTGGACTGCTAACCACAAGGTCGGCGGTTCAAACCCACCAGCAGTTTCTTGGAAACACTATACAGGGTCCTTATGAGTTGGCACTGACTTGACAGCACTTAACAACAGTAAATATTTTAGGCAATCACACAACTCTATTACATGTGATGATATGTAAATAAATGGGCGTGATTATGTTCCAATAAAACTCTATTTTCAAAACAGGTGGCAGGCCAGATATGGCCCACAGGCCTTAGTTTGCTTAGTTTGCTCTGATCTAGCAGCAACCACACCAAAACTCCAATAGTGACTAATCCTGGGTGGTGGATTATGAGTGTGTTCTCATTTCTTCTTTATAATTTTTATATCTTCTTAGTTTTTATAGTGAGTATGTATTATTTTAACATAGTGGTTACGAATTGGGTTGCTAACTTCAAGGTCGGCAGTTCAAAACTACCAGTGGTTCCGCAGAAGAAAAATGAGGCTTTCTGCTCCCGTAAAGATTTACAGCCTCGGAAACCCTGTGCAGGGTCGCTATGAGTCGGAACTGACTTCACGGTACTTAACAACAACAACAACATGTATTATTTTAAAAATCAGAACCAACAGCATACTCTTCATTTTGAAGTGATAAAAGGCTTTGAGAAGCCCAAGAACAAAAGTATATAGTCTCCTATAGTTCATATTTCAAGATCAATTCTTATTCATTATTTCTTAGTTTTTCTGTTGTTATGAAGTGCAGTTGAATTGGTGGTGACTCATAGCAACCTATATAGGGTTTCTGGCTGTTGAGTTTGAACCACTGACCTGTGGCTCAAACTGGCCTCATGTCCTACAGTGCCACACCAGGACTTCTAAATTTTTCTGTAAGACAACATAAAACCTCTCAACATATATCTTGAAAGGAAAGAAAGAGGAATGGAGGGAGGGAGGAAACAAAATGAATCCCACCCCAATCCTTTGGTTTCAGAAAATCCTGAGGATTAGGGACAACGTGACCTACCACTAGACATAAGTCACAGAGGGTGAGCTCTCGGTCCACTTCATCCAGGATGGCTGGATCCAGATTTTCTCCAAACCACACAACGTGTGGTCGCAGCAGGCCCCCACACCCTGCCTCTTCACACCTGTAAGAAGGACGCCATTAAACCTATGCTGGGCAGACCAGAAGGGGGCCACAAGCAGCCCCAAGTCCTGTCTGTCCAGGGAGGTCATCGCCAAGCTTCTTTGTCTACTACCCCTCCCTTCCCCTCCCACATGAATGAGCCCTGGATATGAAGAACTAATTTCAACTATCTATATTAAGTTTTTGGAGTCCTGATGTGGTGCTGTAGGACAAGCGCAGGACTGCAAGGTTGGTTTGAATCACAAGGTTGGCAGTTCAAACTCACCAGTTGCTCCTTGGAAACCCTATACTGGGTCGCTATGGGTCAGATCCGAATCGATGGCACTTAACAACAACAAAATTAAGTTTTTATTTCATTTGTATGTTCTGTGTTCATTTGTTCTCCAATGTGTTTCAGCTAAGCTTGCTACTCTTGTTCTAAATGGCTTCTTCTTTCCAGCTCCTTCACTCCATTCATTGGCACAGTTGTGCTCATAGGTGCCTACGCTGGGAGTCATGTGACACTAGAGTTGCCCCCCAGCACCCAACCTCTAGTGCCAAGAAAGGCTTCCTTCACTTTCTGACAGATTGACCCTGCACTTGCCCTGCCTTCGCCTGCCACCTTCTCAAGTGCTAATTCCTAAAGACCTCGCATCTTTCATTCTCTCCTAGCTCTGGGTGGTCCTAGATCTAACTTCTAAAGGAATCTCCCCAACATGCCCTTCATCATATTCATCTGCTACTCAGTAACCTCCCAGGGCTCCCTGTTCTTTCAGATTGAAACTTAAGAGCTTAATCATGAAAAGCCTTCATATGAAGAAAAACACAGTGGGTAGGAAGGGGGTGGTCTAGGTTTAAATAAACTGGTGAAGTCTCACAATGGATCTTAGTATATTAAACACGCTGAGAAGTCCTGCAGTAAAGCAATCATATTTAATTTTGGGTCATCTGTTGCTGTTTTTGGTAAATGCTGTCAAGTCTGTTCCAACTCATAGCGACCCTGGATAGGGCTTCCGGGAAGCGGCTGGTGGGTTTCAACTGCCAATGCTAAGGTTACCAATCCAGTGCTTATCCTGGAGCACCACACCAGGGCTCTAGTTCAATCTAATATTTCTAAATTTATTTGGTGTATAATTTTTTTTTCACATAATACCTATCCATTTCATGTGAAACAAGTGGCTTTTATTAAACACTGTTGGAAGTGCCATCAAAATCTTTCTAGGGGTGGTTTTATGCAGACACACACATTTTTATTTGGTCCTATTATCTCACTTTGCAAGGCCTCCATTGTCCTGGGCTAGTAACCCGGATGATGGTGGTGACAGTAGCTAATATTTACAGCAGTCACAGGGTACCAGGCTTGATGTCACATAGACACAGCATACACATCGGTAGCACAGTAACCTTAGAAGTCTCCAGACCTCAGATGATCCCTTCACCTCCAAAGCAAGGATGGGGGCTCATATTCCACAGATCTGGCTGATCCTCCAGGCCTCATAGGCTTTCACATTTGTGTTTCTCAATCAAGACGCATCTCACCAAGTAAACATTTATGTTTCAACTCCCAATTCTCCTTTTCTGCAATTTGAAAGACCAAATAGAGATCAAAACGTTCTACATACCGGGGAAGTTTCTCAACTGGGATCCTAGCATCTTCAGTTTCAGGTTCTGCAGCACTGAAGGAAATATTAGGTGGTGAAAAAAAAAGAAAGAACACCATTGGTACAAACAAAGAGCAAAGAATTAAAATAAAATAAAATAAAATAAAATAATCCAGTCTATGGTTCAAGACTCCTAATGAATACTTGCTAACTTTATGCAAACTTAGAAGGGACTTATTAATTTGTTGTTATTGTTGTTAAGTGCTGTCAAGTCAGTTTCAACTCATACCAATTCACTATAGGGTTTCTGAGGCTTTAAAATCGTTGTGGGAGCTAGTGGGCTCGAACTGCCAACCTTACAGTTGACAGTCCAGTGATTATCTTCTGGAGCCACCATGCTCCACTTAATACTCTTTGTTGCTAAGTACCATCGAGTCACTTCTGACTCACAGCAACCCTTTTGTTGCCAAAGGGCAGCTGGTGGGTTTGAACTGCCAACTTTATAGTTAGAAGTCCAGTGCTTATCCTATGTTGTCGTTGTTGTTAAGTACCATCGATTCAGTCCCAACCTATAACAACCCTGTATAGGGCTTTCAAGGAACTTCTGGTGAGCTTGAACTGCCAACCTTGCAGTTCAAACTGACTTAGCCCACAGCACCACACCAGGCGTGGTGGTGGTGGTGATATGCTGTGCAGTTGGTTCTGACTCATAGCGACCCTGTACATCTTTACGGGCTGTAAATCTTTATGGGAGCAGAAAGCCTCATCTTTCTCCTGCTTAACAGCTGGTAGTTTCAAATTGCTGACCTTGCGGTTGGCAGCCCGATTAGTAACCACTATGTTACCAGAGCTCCTTACACCAAGAATACTAGGGGAAAAATTCTGAAAACTTCTTAAACATGACCAAACACCTTGAGGGAATGATTTGCTGGGCCTGGAGGCTCAGGTCCATACGTCTTGGCGGAACACCATGGCCAATTGGCATAACATAATCTACGAAGACAACGTTCCACTTTTTTAAGTAGCAACTAGGATTTTAAAAGCTCATGAGTAGATATTTAAGGTGTTGCTATTGGTTTCCTCTGTTTAGAGTAAAGAAGAGTGATGAAAATTTAACAACTATAGATATACAGTTATTGTTAAGCACCGTCCAGTCAGTTCTGACCCACAGTGACCCTGTATAGGGTTTCCAAGGAGCAAGTGGTGAGCTTGAACTGCTGACCTTGCAGTCCAGCACATTAATCCACAGTGCCACATCAGGACTCTCTCTATATATATACATATGTATAGTCATATATATATGGGGAGCTCAGTAGCGTAGTGGTTACGAATTGGGCTGTGAACTGCAAGATCAGCAATTAGAAACTACCAGCTGTTCCACGGGAGAAAGATGAGGCTTTCTGCTCCCGTAAAGATTTACAGTCTCAGAAACCCTGTACAGAGTCGCTATGAGTCGCAACCGACTCCACCGCACATAACAACAAATATATATATATATATATATATAGTCCTGGTGTGGTGCTGTGGGTTAATGTGTCAGACTGCAAAGCTGTTTGAACTGCAAGGTTGGTAGTTCAAGCTCACCAGCTGCTCCTTGGAAACCCTATACAGGGTTGCTATGGGTCGGAACTGACTTAACAGCACTTAACAACAACATATATATATGGAGAGAGAGAGACAGAGACAGAGAGAATCCTGGTGTGGCACTGTGGATTAATGTGCTAGACTGGGAACTCTGGTTGCGTAGTGGTTATGAATCAGGCTGCTAATCTCATGATCAGCAGTTTGAAACTACTAACTGCTCCACAGGAGAAAGATGAGGCTTTCTGCTCCCATAAAGTTTTACAGCCTTGGAAACCCTGTAGAGGGTCACTATGAGTCGGAACTGACTCCATGGCGCATAACAACAATTTTTTTTTTCTTAATTTCAATTAAAAAATTTTAAGTGAAAAAAATTACCCATAATCCTGCCATGCCTGAAAACACCTGTTTAACATTTTTTGTATTTTTCCTGGTCTTTTTGTCTTTATATTTTATTAAAGGGGGGCTCAAAAACATTCATAGAAAAATTTCAATATCTTTTAATTTTCCCAAGAACTTTTTGAAGCCTTCTAGTATATAAACGCAATGTGTATATGTGTTTACATACAAAGTAAGGATTATACTGTATATGGTTGGTTTTAGTTTAGCATTGTAAATAGTGGGCAGAATTTTTTAATGATATTGCTATGGATATACTATATCTAGTCTTATTTCTCACAAATATCCATGGGAGATTAACTTTGAATTTCCTCACATTCATGTTCAACCTCAAGAAGAAAATGTTGTTGTTATTGTTGTGAAGTGCTGTCGAGTTGGTTCCGAACCATAGCGACCCTGTATAGGGTTTCCAACAAGCGGCTGGTGAGCTAGAACCACCGACTCTGCAGTTGAAACCAACTTTGCGGTTGAGCGCGTTAACCCACAGCACCACACCAAGGACTCCAAGGAGAAAATAGCATATCCTTATTCTGCAATGCAATATAATTACCCTTTTCCTGATAAAGCTGGACAAATTGGACTCTTGTAATTCTCTGCCACATTTCCACAAGAGGTGCATCGAGTTTTAAATAAACTACCTGAAAAAATAAACAAAAAAAAAACGTTGAAACAAATTAGGCAAGTCCATGATTTAGTATAATCAAAAGGGACACAAGATAGATTTTAGACATTCTTTTTAGCAAATAGGCCAACCCTAGGAATCATGGGAATTATGGGTAAGTCAAAAGCATACATCCCCAAGGAGTTCATAATCCCGAGAGGAAAGGGGAGATGAACTAACCAACTACACAGCCAACGTGCTGATGGAAGACTGGGGAGTAACATTCGGGTGAAAACTGAAGTGGGCAACTAGTGAGGTAGCCCAGCATAGAGCAAAGGGCATGATTTATGAAGTCGGTGATTGGTAAAAGGGATGTGTTTATGAAATTTTGATTTAAGAAAGCATGAGTTTATTCCTACCAAAGCAATTCCATAAAGAAACCACTGTCTAACAAACAAAGAAAACTACTGTGAATACAAGAGTATTCACAGTAGTTTTCTTTGTTAATGCAACGGAACAACCATTTGTAGCAATCCTTTACTGGATAGCTATGACTTATTAACTACATAACATGTCCTGCCCTGTACACTTTACACAATCCCATGTATGTCAGAGTAGAACTGTGCTTCATAAGGGTTATTTTTTTCTTTTGGGGGAGTGGGGTGGGAAGATATACACAAACACTCAGGAATATATAATATTTTAAGCA